AGTTTGCACATCCGTGCGGGAACTCGCTGCATAGGTCTCCCGAGCCTATCGCACCACGTTTCATGCGGTGGTGACCGCTCTCAGGGGCATCAGATCTCTCTTTTGGTCAATGAGGATGCCGAGTTACATTCAACATTGACACATTCAACGTATAGGGGAAAGAGAAATAACTCCCATAATGAGAGGATGATCGGCATATTGAGAGAGAGCTAGCGGGAAAAGATCAATTCGGGCTTGGAAGAAAGATCTAAATCCTATCTCTAACAGGCGCTGGACTATCGAGGCCATTCAGCTCTACCTCAAGAAGTAGGTGGAGCCTGGTAAGCTGTTGTTCTGTTGTAGATGCTTTTCAACAACATGTTGTTTTAGAGAGGTTGTTTTGCTGAATAAGAAAGGAAAAATGCCTCCGTATTGTCACTGTGACGCTGGAGTGGACATAGCGCTCCACATCTTGGCGCATTGTTCTGCCTGGGATGTGGAGCGCCATGACCATTGGTTCGGATCTGTCCCTCTCGAGCGTTATGATTAAGATGCTGAGAGGGACTGGAAGAAAGTCTTCTCCTTCACAAAATAATGTTGCAGAAGAAGGAAGCAGAAAGGGTGAGGCGGGGAGAAATTCTCCTTCCAAACCCTTCTTAACGAGGGTAGAGCGCGAACCAACTTTCAGGAGGGGAGTGGCGTCGTGCCCATTTTAAATATCGGACCTCGACAGAAGGGAAAAGACTCCCCGTCATAGGGAATTCGATGAAATCAGGGTTCCGATGAACCCCAGTCAGGTCAAAATTGATCTGGATCGTGGCGCCTTTAGAGGGGAATGGAAGTATGACGCCGGTGATTCTCGGTCTTCTCCCCTTTCGATAAAGTCTGTCAGAAGGCAGCGCACTATGAGCTGAGAAGGGGGAAAAAGTGGCCAAAATTTGAAAAATCAGCATGGAGACGTATTCTACTTTTAAATAATTTTTTACATCTTTTTCTAAAGTTTCATGAATTGAATTATTATTGTTTATGTAGCAATCATTTGAATTTTTAGAATATGGTTTTTACATACTTAATTATGTTTAAAAAGAAAATTATTAATTTTGTTATATATCAAAGAATAAAATGTTTGTTAATTTTTTTTCTTATCTTAGGACATAAACTATTTAAAAAAAAATCGTTCTAGAATCACTTTAACATAAACTGATAGTCAACAGCACTCTATAATTTTAAAATATACTGTAGTTTTAAAATTATGAAACTCTGTCGAAACCCAATAATTCGCGAGACATAATCGTAGATATTACTGAAAGTAAGGCGTTATTAGATGCATATTTATAAGTATTTAAGAGAAATGTGCTCATTTTTGTTCATTTTTATTCATTTCATTTAAAAAATTACAAATTATTAAGTGTACAACTTTGTTTCCGCCTTTTTTTTCCGAAATTCGAGGCTTTATTGTAAAAAACTGGTTATACATTTATGATTCAAAGTATTGTCTATCGCTGGCCACTACTTTCTCCCATCTTTCGAGTAGCGTACGAATCCCGCGTCGAAAAAACTGGTCATCTTTTGAAGCTATCCACGAATCGATCCAATTTTTTATTTCTTCATAAGACCGGAAGTGCTGGTCAGCCAGGCCGTGTGCCATTGATCGAAACAAGTGATAGTCAGAGGGAGCAACGTCTAGAGAATACGGCGGGTGGGGTAGGACTTCCCATTTGAACGTTTCCAAGTATGTCTTGACCACTTTCGCAACATGGGGTCGAGCATTGTCATGCTGCAAAATCACTTTATCGTGTCTCTCGTTGTATTGCGGCCGTTTGTCTTTCAATGCTCGGCTCAAACGCATCAATTGCGTTCGATACCGATCGCCTGTGATTGTTTCAATCGGTTTTAACAGTTCATAATACACTACGTCGAGCTGGTCCCACCAAATACAGAGCATGACCTTGGAGCTGTGAATATTCGGTTTGGCCATCAACGTGGAAGCATGGTCGGGAACTTCCCATGATTTTCTGCGCTTGGGATTATAGTAATGAACCCATTTTTCGTCTCCAGTCGCAATGCGATGCAGAAATTCCTTCTGTCTTTGCCTTTCAAGCAACTGTTCACAAGCAAACAAACGCCGTTCAACATCTCTCTGCTTCAATTCGTACGCACCCAATTGCTTCTGAATCATTCCTATGGCTTTGAGGCGTTTTGAAATGGCTTGTTGAGTCACTCCCAATGATCGTGCCAATTTTTCTTGATTTTGACACGAGTCTTGCTCAAATAATGCCTCCAATTCTGTATCTTCGAAAACCTTCTCTCTTCCACCGCTATGCCAGTTTTCGATGTCAAAATCACCGTTCTTGAATCGTTGAAACCACTCACGACACGTTCTTTCATTAATAGCGGCCTCACCAGTATTTGAGAGCATTCGATAAGCCTCAGCCGCAGATTTCTTCATATTGAAGCAAAAAATTAAATTAAAAAACTCCCGCAAATGACGAGAATTTGGATCGTAAACTGACATTTTCAATCGAGAATAACTTTATGATGCAGACACAAATCGACTAATGTTTCTATGGGGTTATGTTGACAGATGCCCAAGTTTATTGTATGACATCTATGATCTATTTATTTCGACTACCACTTTCCGCTAAAGCCATCTATAGGAAAACGGCGGAAGCAAAGTTGTACACCTAATAATATAATAATGTTCATTTGAACCTAGTGCATCTTTTCAAATTTTATCTCTTATTTCGATCAAAGTTTTAGGGCAAGAACACTTTAATTAGATGACTGTAAAATAATTGTGTCTAGAACAAATGAGAATATGCAGTGCCGCCACAAAGTGGCGAGGACTTCTCCTAAAAGAAAAGCTCACAATGCCTTATAAAAGGATATGTGCAAATCGAATGAGATATCACTGTTATTTTTTCTTTTAGAGAATTTGCTTTCCAGATTATTGAAAAGTAATAATCAACAATTATTATTCTATTTAGGCTGTTTCTTATAATTCGATTTATTAGATATGATTTCTTTTAGATTCAAAAGAGGAAATTTTGGATCAGGTTCCTGATGATAATCACAGAGATTTGGGTGTTAAATATATTATTGAGAAAATGAATCTTGATGTTATAAAAATAAAGCCAGAGAATCTGAAATGTCTTAGAAATCGCTTTCGGCGAGAGTCTGCTGCAATAAGTGCCCAATGTCAATATGATCCATTAAAAATTTTAATGGTAGGTAAATATGTTGCTAGGCGATCAAAAGAAAAGGATTTTCATGCAATTCTGAATGAAATTTTGAAAACATCAACACGTCCTACTGAAATGTTAGCTGCTACATTATCTTCTCTCATTAAAAAAACTCCCGAAGAAGCATTTTTATCCTAGACAATTCTATATAATAAAAAATACATACAAAAATATGCATTTAGAATCAATATTCTCAGGAGCAGATATTCTCATGATGTTGTAAGAAATGCTAAAACATTGTGTAGACCAGAAAAAGAAATAATATCAATCAATGAAAATATAGTATAACGACTCCAAAAGATTTTAGTAATCTAGAAAATAAAATTTCACTTTTTCTGATCTCTCATAGTGGAGCGGAAATTTTGATTAGTTTTCTCGGAGACAATCGACTAAGCAAGTTCGGCCGATTTCAATCTTTTATATTCGACTGAACGAAGGCTCTTTTGATCGATTGCTAATAAAATTTCTCCAAATTATAAATTTTGAAGTGACCTTTGGACGCCGAGCATGATTGATCCATAATCCATTAATCGCAAGAAGAGTGTTGTTGCTATGCGTGAGTGAAAAAGCGTAGATGATTGGCGTTCGAGCACGAACTCATCCGGTCTTCATTAAACTTGAAGCATTGTTAGTTAAATGTTTTTGTGTATGCACAACATGAATTTTTTGTTTATTGATCTCCAACAAATAGAGAGAAACTTCGAGTTCGTTGGCGATTTCTAGAAAAAACTTTAAGAACTCATACAGAACACACTATTAATTGCGATGCGATTTATAGTGGTGTATCTTAAACATAAATTAAAAATAATTCTTTTAGAGAGACTTAAACTTTATTTAAGGAAAAATTCAATGTAATACACACAAAATAATTTAAAAATTCTCGAAAACAGAATAATAACATTATATTATAAGAAATATCATATCTTTGAGAAATTCTTAAAATCAATATTATGAAAAACAATTTTAAATTTATGATTTTTATTTAAAACATTTTTCATATAGGTACTTTTTAAAGCTATCCGAAATATTTCAAAAATTTTTAAATAATTATAAAAGAATTATAAATTATTCTATCGCATTTAAAGATAATACAATACATTTTTTATTGTTTTATTGTACGGTTTATTATCTAGATCATAAATTATTTTAAAAAATAAGCAATTATAGTTTTTAAATAATATCTGTGCTCTAATAAAAATGTATGGAAATTATACAGTAATTGATAAAAATCTCAATATATATTCAAGATTATATGTAAAGTTATGTTGCTATACATAGACTAGTTGTTCAGCAAATAAAAAAACTTTTATTTATTTGTTCTAAATTTTTGTAATTAGTAAATCGCAATGAAAATGCATAAGTTATTTAATACTTAAAGTACTTATAAAAAGAATTTAGATTTTTGTTATTATTTTATAAAGTTTAGTTAATAATAGCACAAAATAATAACAAATAAGATAAATAAATTATAAAAATATGTTGAACAATAAAAACAGAATGTTATTTACATATCTTACACACACACACACACACACACACACACACACACACACACACACGCGCGCACGCACGCACGCACGCACGCACGCACGCACGCACGCACGCACGCACGCACGCACGCACACACACACACATACACACACAATGTGTTTAAAGTATAAATATTAACATATTTGCAAAAATGGTTTAAATACATCCTTAAGAATATTAAAACAAAATAAATTTTTTTAGAATATACTTCTATTTTAATATGTGTATAATAAATAACTTATAAAAATGTTTTTCATTTTGATATCTAAAGTTTATTAAAAAAGCTTGTCGAAGGTGGGAACTTGCATGTCTCTTTATTAAATTTTTACATTAGAGTATAATATTAAAATAAATAAACAAAATTATTCTTGCTATCAGAGACCAAAATATTATAATTATTTGTCACTAACAAACCAGATACCCATGCAAATTTATGTCCTTGCGTTTTTTTGTCACCTAACATCCGTAGAAATTTACCTTCTGGAGAGAAAATTTGTACTCTTCCATTTCCAGCGTCACCAACAATGATATATCCTTTATCATCAATCTTCAGTACTTCAGGTGATCTATTAGAATTAAAATTTTCTAATAAATTTATGAATTTTCTAATAAATCTCTAGATTTTAATAGTAATATAAATTTCAAATTCAAAGAATTTTATATTAGCCTCAAATTAGAAACGGTAGAAACGGTATATAGGAGTCAAATGTGGAAAATAATACACGATAATTACTTTCTATAATTGATCGGATTCGGTTATCTATGATACATTTATAATACTTTTTACATGTTTTTACTCCTTTTGGGCCTTCTTCAGAGATTCTGACGATAATGATATATGTTTGCATCTATTAATTGATGCATTGATGTAGTTGCCTGTAGTTTACTTGTGTCTGTTTATTTATCAATATTTCTGAAATTTTGCATAGCGGTTAATGTCTCATAACGCTGTATGATTGTCTCTTTCAATCGTTTGATTGACCGAATGGAAATCGACACGCTATATATTGAATTGAATATAAATGTAACGAATTATAATTTACCATTGAAATGAATATTACTCATCACAAGCGTTGTAGATATTGTTGTGCAATATTTCATGTTTATTAATTGTGTTTTAGTCAGTATGTTAAAATATAATGTTGTTAGATCTTAGTACTTATTCAATTAAAAGTATATAAATTGAGTATTTATAAGTGTTATTTAACTAATGTAAATTAAACTAATGTTGTATAGTTTACGACTCTACTGACTATCTGTCACTGACTAACGATTCAAGTCTGCCTTATAATTATATTGTCGATACGAAGATAAGCTTTATGGGGATCTTCAGTGTTTGTTTATAAGTTTACACTTTTGTTTTATTGTGTTTTGATAACACAGCTCATACAGCATCGATTATTGCGAAAAATTTTCAGAAATTTTCTCTCTTTCACATCTCATGTGCAATAATTTTGAAAGGAATTCTGCAATACGATTGTTTCTGATCTCTACTGTCAACAACTAATACGATTGGAACAATCCATTCAGAAAAAGCCAGAATTGATCAATAAAAAAGGCATTGTCTTTCATTATGACAACGATGGCCACATAAGTCTTTGATGATTCGATAAAAATTGAGAGAGCTTGACTGGGAAGTTTTGATGCATTTATTGTATAGTTTTGACTTTGCATCATCCGCTTACCATTTGTTTCAGTGTTAGCAGAACTTCCTTAATGGAATAAACTTGATTTCAAAAGAAAATCAATTATGCAAAAATCATTTATCTCTGTTTTTTTAGAAAAATCACAGAAGTTCTACTGATGGAATAGCTTGATCCGAGAAATGGCAAAAGATTATTGATCAAAACTGTATATTTAATAAAAGATTTATAAACAATTTAAAAAATACGTTTTAATTATGCTCCAATTTGTAAAAAGACTTTTTTTAACCCAATATACTATATTATTTTTTGTGTCTCGTGGGAGAGATCTTCGTGTGCTTTTATAAATGTTTTAAATTTTTTCGTGCTATAAAATGATACTGATATTTTTATTATTTAGTTTATTAATCTTCTCTAAATGAATAGGTATATAAGAGACAATAAATCGTGAATTTTTGTTCATATCATTATTGTCTGGTGTATTATTTTTATACAATAGAGTTTTCAATCGTTGTTGTTATTAGATGTAATTATCATTGATAACATTAACATAATTGAATTTAATTAGTACAACAAACCTACTTACTCAAGTAAACATTTGAATTACTTATTTCACCACTTCATTATACAATAAAAAGGCGCTGTGTTCGATTTAATTGACAGGACAATATTATTATTATATCCAAGATATCACACAGATAGTTTTAATATATTAATTAATTAATATTAATTAATTAATATTTTATTGGATCATGACTACCTGCAGAATTTTATATTTGACAACATTAGAAAACGATTGGAAACTCTATTTTATGAAACAATATCATAATACATCACATCCTCTTTAATTATATATTAACTTTCCTTACTTCTTACTTTAAATCAGGCCTTGTATACTTATAAAAATAAAATCTACTTTTTATTTTATTATATTTTGTGTCAAATATTCTACGATCTATTCCTAGTGCGAATGTAGTGATTTAGATTGCATACTGAAGTGTAATTAGAGAGGAAAAATAGGATATTAAGTTCGGATAAGTAAGATATAGTGCCGCAGAAGTGACACAAATAAAGGCGGTAAGAACTTCGTAAGGATATGACTGTTCTATATGAGATAAGGAAAAAATAGGTAAGTGTTATGGCGTCGAAAGACGAGAATGGTTCATCAGGAAAAGGGGAGGGGGCGGGAAGGGAAAGTTGAGGGATAGCAAGCAGAGAAAGTTGATGACAGAGGAGAGAGGCACTGATGGCGAGAAAAAAGTAATATTTAGGTTAAATGAAGAGACAAAGGAAAGGACGGAAAGGAGAGGAGCGAGAGAGGAGATAGAAAATGTATTAAAAAAAATTAAATTAATGAGAGAGAAAAGAATAGATTTTGGAAAATATAAGGGAAGAAAGAAAAATAAGCATGGAAAGTCAAAAGGTTAAGGAAAGATTTTGGGAGGAGAGGTTTAGGGGAATAAAAGAGAAAATAATAGAAAGTGAAAATAAAGTAAAGGAGTGGATAGAGAAGACGGAGAAAAGACTTAGAGAAGGATGAGAGGAATACAGTAAAGAGATAAAAGATAGATTAGATGAGATGGAGAGGAGGATAGGTTACGGTTATACATTAGGAGAGGGAGAGGAAGAGGAAGAGAGGAATGTGTATAATAAGGGAAAGAGTATAGCGAATGCATGTGATAGAAGGTAGTTAGAAGGAAGCATGGATAGGTTAAGTTAAAGAGAGGAGTAGTGCGGAAATTGGCGAATAAAGAACAGAAGAGGAAAGAAAATGCAATATTGCAATTAAGGAGATTAAATGGAAAGGAGATAAAGATATAGAGAAAGGCAAGGAATGGGCGCAAAAACTTATAAAGGAGAAAATAAGAATAGATATACAGGTTATCAGCTAAAGGATGAGCAAACCAGTAGTGATCGTTAAAGTGGATAACGAAGAAATGAAGAAAGAGGTAATGAGAAACAAGAATAAATTAAGGGGAGGAAAACTTTTTTTCGAAAATGATTTAAGTTTTGAGGAAAAGAAGATGCAGACTAGGATAAATAAGTGAAAGCACAAGAAAACAAAGGGGGAGATATAAAGATAGGATGTGGGAAGATGAAAATAAGGGAGATTTGGAAAACTTGAGCAGAAATAGAGAGAGAGAAAGAAGAAAAAAGAGAATAGGAAAATAATAATAGAAAATATGAGGATAGAAAGAAGGATTGAGGGGAAGTTATCTAGTTCATATAAATATATATATATGCACATAGAGAAAAGAAAAGAGGCAGGGGGGATTTATAATAGGCATAAAGAAAAACTGGGCTGAGGAATCGAACCTGATATATAAAAATAAGGAAAGAATGATAATGTTGACTATAAGTATAGAGGAAAAGAAGATTATAATAATATCGGTATACAATAGGAAGAGTTGGAAAAATTTAAAAGAAAAGTTAGAAATAATTCTAAGAGACATGGAAAATGAGAAAATAGTAATAGGTGGAGATTTTAATGTAAGAACAGATGAACTAGTGTAAAAGAAATAAAAAGGAGAAGTAAAGACAAAGTGATAGGAAACGAAGGCAAAGAGTTGGTAGATTGGACACAGAGAAAAGGATAGTACATTTTAAATGGATCAACAAAAGGAGATTGGGACGAGGAATACTTATATAGGTATAGGGGTAATACGGTTATTATGTGATTGCAAATGAATAGTATAAGAGAAAATGTAAGGGAATTTGCGATAAGAGATAGGGTGGACTCAAATCACATGTCGCTGTTGCTTAGCATGGAAGGAAAAGAGGAGAGGCAGAAAACAAAAGAAGAGAGAAAAAAGCAAGGAGTAAAGGAGATAATTATATGGAATGAACAGACCATAAAAGAATATCAAGAAAAAACAGAAATTTTAACTGGCAGATCAAAAAGGAATAACAATAGAGAAAAAATAGCAAAAGATCAAGAAAATTATACATGGAGCGTTAATCGTAACGAAGAGGAAGATAAAATCCAAAAAATTCGAATTAGGACATTAGGGTTAATGGAATAGAAGTTGTATCAGGAAGAAGAGGAAAATAGAGAATACGTAGAAGATGGAGACTAGGAAAAATAGGCAGGAGAGAATATATTCTCTCCGGAAGAAAGAAGGAAATTTAAGTTGATAGAAACAAAAAGAAAAGAGAGAGAAGAGGAAACGGAATTGAGTTTGAAAAGGGAGATGGATGTATGGAAATTTATAAACAAAAAGGGGAGAGATAATAACATTGAGACAGAGGAATAGAAGCAACATTTTATGAACTTTCTAAACGGTTAACACTGAAGGATATGCAGGAAAAGGAGGAAATGGAGACAAAAAATGGAAAAGAAGGACAAGAAATGGAAGAGTTGAAAAAGGAAAAAAATTAAGGGGGCATTAAAGAAAATGAAGAACAAAAAGGCCGTAGGTATAGATGGAATCCCGATGAAAGCGTGGAAATATGCGGAAGGTACAGAAATATATGGAAGGACATAATAGAATTACTGGGACAAATTTGGAGACAAAGAGAGATACCTGAAGATTGAAGGCAAAGTATTATATAAGAGAGGAGACACAAAATCGGTAGGAAATAGAGGGATATCGTTATTGTATACAGCGTATAAATGGTACGCAGATATTTTAAGAATTAAATTGGAAGAGGAGGTAGGGAAAAAACATAAATGCGTCCCGGACGCAAACAGAATTTAGAAAAGGCAGGTCGACGATGGATAACATATTCGTATAACATATTCGTATTGAATCATCTGATTCAAAAAAACAAGCAGACAGAAGATAGAGAGAGGAAAGTATATGCTCTCTTTGCAGATTTGAAGGCAGCTTTCGACAGAATGGATAGAGGT